GCCCCCTTTCTCCCAGAAGCCTCCCCAACCACCTCCCTGCCTGCAGAACTGCCCCAGAGAGGGGGGCTCCTGCAGAGACGGCCCTCTGACGTTCCAGAACCCCCAGGGGCTCCAGCCGCAGCACACACCCTGGTCCTCTTGGGACGCGTCATTGTAGTTGACCTGCTTGCGGATGCGCTTGCCCTTGCCCAGGTTGCGGGCCAGGTCCTCCTGCTGCTGCTCATAGTGGTGCCGCAGCAGCTTCTCCCAGTAGTCGGGGTCCACGTTCTCCTCCTGCTTGATCACCTCCCGCTCCACCTCCTCCTGGGGACACAGGCACAGGGGCTAGCAGGACAGCTGGCTGGACAGGCATCCCTGGCCTCACCACCGTCTTGGGGCTCAAGGAGCAACTGAGAGTCCTGCCTATTCCAGAAAGCCTTCCCTGCCACCCAGCCCCAAGGTCTTCTCTCCCTGCCCTTCCTGCAGTCATTCAGTCACTACACAGTACTTCCTGGTCTTGTGCGAGCACGGTTACAGGGCTGACCAGGCCCAGCCCCTGCCCTCAGGAGGCTCCTGGTTTTAAGGGGAAGGACAATTAATTAGCACTCGGTGCCTGGGGAGTTCAGGAAGAAGTAAAGGTTCTTGTGGGAGAAGGGGGTTTGCAGGGTGGGGAAGGCAGAAGATTCCAGGCAGCAGTGCAAGAATGTTCCAGACAGGAGTGGTCCAGCCAGGCCAGATGCAGCCCCAGGCAAGGCTGGGGGGGCCCAGTGGACAGACCCCTGAACAGGCCTCTCTAAAGGAGATGGCAGTTCCATGTGTACATCCCAAATGTCGGTGCTGGGAGGTGGAGGAAAACATCAGCAAGGATGTGGCTGTATGGTTCTTCCTTCTGCACCGCCTCAGCCTGTAGTGGGGGGCAACCCCAAACTAAGGCCAAGGGGGGTGCATGCCAGGGCAGGACCTGAAGAGCAGAACACTAAAGAGGGAAGGTGCTTGTGGGTGGAGCAAGGCCGCAGGGTGGGGCCTGATAAGGGGGGGCTGGGGCTGGAGGGAGGAGCTTGATGGGCAGAGCACAGGCTAGGAGCGGGGCCTGATGGGGCAGAGTCACAGACAGACTGGCAGAGGCAGTCCAGGGACCTTACCACGCCATCCTCTTCGCGCACCACGTACTGCGCCACCTTGAAGGAGCTGAGGTACTCATTCATGTTCTGTAGCTCCGTGTCGTCGGTGGCATCCTGGTTCCGGTCCAGCAGCTTGGAGATGGCCGCATCATCATAGTGGATCACACTGCTGTCCTCCACGTCCTTGTTGTCACCTGAGCAGCAGACACAGTGCATTGTGGGGACCTAGGGAGTGTTCAAGCCCAACCTCTGGTCTCTTCCAGACTGGGCCAAGGAGTGGAGCAACCCGTTGGGAGAAAACCTGGCTGTAACCTGCACAGGTGCCACGGCCCCACTCCCTGGGGGGGGCAGCTCTGGGCTGGACTCAAGGGGGCCTCCCTACCTGGCGGGGTGCTGCCGTGTTTTTTCTTTGCGCTGGCAGCCAGGGCTCCCCCTTTGGAGGGCTGCACGTCAGGGATGGGCGTTACAGGCCTCTGGCCCTGCGACATCATACCTGGAGGGCAGAGGAAGGGCGCTGCTGCGGTGGCACAGAGGGGCTGCGGGGTTGGTGGGCAGTGGACAGATGCCACCCTGGCCCGCTGAGGAAGGAGACCCGGGCAGGAGCTGAGGAGAGTGCGGCTGTGTATGGTGGGACTGGCAGGGATCCTGGACGGGGGTTCCTCACGCAGGTTCACCCTTGAACCCCCACCAGACTCCTGTGGAAGGGAGGCCCACCCTCCACGTCGTCCTTGAAGAGCTCCTCGGTGCCGAACTTGAGGATGTCATCCAGCTCCTGCTTGGTCATGGACCCCGACTTGGAGCCCAGGCCCGGACGCACCACCAGGTGGGTGAGCATCATCTTGCGCTTGGCCACCTGCGTGATGCGCTCCTCCACAGAGGCCCGGGTCACGAAGCGGTAGATCATTACCTTCTTGTTCTGGCCAATGCGGTGGGCACGGCTGAAGGCCTGGGGAGACCTGGAGCTCAGTACCAGGATCTGACCGAGGACGCTGGGTATGGGGTGGGGTGCCGTGGGCTGGGGAGATGCCCAGCCTTGTGTGGATGTGGCAGCCAGGCTGGGACTGGGTGAAAATGTGCCTGGCAGGTGGGACTAACTGTGACTGCAGGTGCGTGCAGGGGAGAGTGGTCTGTGTGCTGCCTGGAAAGGGAGCCACACGGTGGTGGGCCATGGGGAGACGGGGCTGCATCTCCCTAAGGGAGCTGCAAATGGGACCACAGAGCTCATGTTACAAACAACAGCCACCTTTCAAGGGCAGCAAGGGCTGGTCCTGAGGGTGACAGGACAAACCAGGGTTAGCAGCCAGCTTGCTCTGTGCCTTGCACACCCCGGCCTTCTTGGGTCTGTTTCCTCCTCTGTGCAATGAGGAAGGAGTGGGGGCAAAGCCTCCACCGCAGGGGGAGGCCTAGGGAACTAGGGAGGAGTCAGGAGCATGGTCAGGGGGTACAAAGGATGGGGGTGGCAGGGGGGCCATAGACCTGGATGTCATTGTGCGGGTTCCAGTCTGAGTCGTAGATGATGACCGTGTCTGCCGTGGCCAGGTTGATGCCCAGGCCACCCGCCCGGGTCGAGAGGAGGAAGCAGAACTGCTGGGCCCCAGGGGCTGAGAAAGAGAGGCCAACAGGTGAGGGTGGGTTAATGGTGCCACCTGAGCAGGATGGATGGCAGGCAGAGGGTGGGAGGAGATATCATGGGCAGAAACCCCAGCAACAGGTCCCTGGCAAAGAGGCAGGACAAGACAGTGACCCCGTCACAGACGGGCAGCCAGACCTGCACTCAGGGAGGCAGGAGGAGCCCACCTGGGGCCACTTAGGCCCAGACAATGGGCGCTCCAAGCTCTGGTCCAAAGGAAGGAAGCCAGAATGAGAAGGAAGCCAATTTTTAAAGCCCAGATGGACAAAAACCAAACCAACAGCCAACAAATATCGGCAGAGCCCTCGAGAGGCCAGCAGCCAGGCCCTCGAAAGTTACGCCCTCCATGTGCGTCAGCGGCAGGCTCTGCTAATAACTGGGCTTTAGCTGGTGTGCACCGTAGAGGCCCAGCGTCCCAGTCAGACCCTCCGTACCAGCCTCACTTGATGACAAAGGTGAAATTTCCCTCCCCCATCTGCCTTTCATCGTGTGCTTTTCTAATTCTGTTCAAAGTAAGTGTTATCAGGTGGATTCCTAAAACCCCAACAGACCCCAGAAGGCCCGTTAGGACGAATCCTTTTAGCATTTAAAAACCAAGAAGCCAGGCATGGCGGTGCATACCTATAATCCCAGCTACTCGGGAGACTAAGAGGATCACAAGTTCAAAGTCAGCCTGGGCAACCCATCAAAACCCTGTCTCAAAATTGAAAAATAATAATAAGTAAAAAGGTCGGGGTGTAGCTCAGTGGTAGAGGTCTTGCCTATCACGTGCTGGCATGGGGTTCAATCCCCAGGGACCCTGAGAGAACTCAGTCATGACCTAAGGACTAGTCAGCTCTCATCAGGCATTGCGGAGTCCACCCAACATCAGCTGGGTTCCAGCTAAGAACCTGGCCTGGAGCGGAGGCTGAAGTGGGGTCCTAGTCAGAACCCTCAGGTGGGGTGGGTACCGTTGAATCTGTCGATGGCTTCTTGCCGGAGGCCCCCGGTGATGCCACCATCAATCCGCTCATATTTGTAGCCCTCGTACTCCAGGAAATCTTCTAGAAGGTCCAGCATCTTGGTCATCTACAGGGAGAGGGGTGCGTGAGGAGTGGCCAAGGAGCCAGGAGCCCACAGGACCATGGCTGGGGGAGGAGAGGGCAGCCCACTGCGTAGGGAGACAAAAAGGACCCAGGCAGACCCAAGACAGGATTCTGGAGAACATGGCTGCCAACCATCCAGCAGCCAATCCACCCTCCACACCAGCCCCCAAACATGACCCTGGGCAGCAGCCTCCCCTGCTCATGCCCCTCAGAATGGAGTCGCAGCTCCTCAGCCAGCAGTCAAGGCTCTGCGGCCCAATACTCACTCCCCCCACAGACGTTCCCAACTAGACTCTTCCCACAGTATCAACCCACCCCCCTTCTGCCTGGGGAACTCAAATATCACCTCCTGTGATATCCTCCCTGATGTCACTCTGCCCCATAACCCTGCTGACGGCCCAGCCATCTTGAGACAGTTCAGCTGGATATGAAACTACCAGCAGGCGCTCCCTCGGCACATGGAGATTTCGCCATCCTCTCTGCCACCTGCTCCTGACGGACAGTCCTGGTCCGCTCCTTTGTAAGCTTCGGGTGTGAAGTGCTAGTTTCCCACCAGGTGCCGAGGGCTTGGTTTACTGAGCTCCAGAGCACACTGTAGATCTGAGACCGCATGTCTTTCTCCAAGTCCATAAACTCATCGCGTCTTGCTTTCCGTGGTTCCCTGGTTTTTCTTCTCCAACTCCCATCAGATGATTGCTGGGGCCTCACAGGCTACCACCACGCTCTTTTTCTCGTCTTTGTCTCGCTACATCCTAGGAAGTTCCTCGGTACCAGGTTCTAATTCATCAGTGTTCTCTTCGTTGGTGTAAAAAATGTATCCAGCCTGGTGAAGTGTTTTATTTCAGTGACCAAATTCCTCTGCAGAGTTATCTGTGTGCTCTCGTTTTATTACCTCCTGCTTTTACCTAAATGAATTCTTCTTCATTTATAGGTGTTGGTTAATCCATGATTTTTTTGAGGACCCTAAACATGTTTCTGGAAAGTCTTTTTCAAGCAATTCTGTCGTTGTTTTGATGTGGATTCTAATTATGGTTTTGTGGGATGTCTTAGCAGCCAGTTCCACTGTGAGTTTGGGAGTCTGGGTTGGCTGGCTCACTTGGACAGGAGGAGGCCGCCTCTGTCCTGCTCCCTCTGCACACATTTCTGGCGCTCTGACAGTCCACTCTACGTGGTCCCAGGCGGACTCTGCCAGATGAGGTCTCATGTGGGCAGTGGTGTTGGGGGAATGTGGATCCAAGTTCAGACACAGGTTGCCTGCTTCCTTGGGACTCCAGCCCGCTGCCCGCCTGGGGTGTGATCAGGGCTGCAGACAGCAGCAGTTGTGTTTGCTTGACCTCTGTGCAGAGGAGCTGGATTCCACACTCTGGCTGTGAGCCGTGGCCTGGCTGGGCCTGACCTCCAGGGGAGGTCACACCGTAGGATCCTGCAGGCCCATCACTACAGCCTCCAACACAGAGCTGACTAGACTCAGGCAACCGTCTCAAAAACTCTTCCTCTCTAAAGTAGGCAGATTGAGAGGAGGAGCCAGATCATTGTTCACTATACCCATGGGCCTAGGACCGAGCCTGATAGACAGTGGCCGCAAACGAAGGAATGGAGGAAAAAGTGAGCCGACCTGAGGCTGAACAGCCCTGCCTCTCTGTGCCAACAGGAATGCTGCCAGTGAACCTCGAGGGGCGACTGGAGCTGCCCCACTGTTCTCCCAAACCAACCCCAGGGCCCCCTCATGACAGGCCTGGCTGCAGGGGTGAGAGCAGAGCAGAGGAGGTGTGACAGGGCAGAGGGTGGGGGAGAGGGGCTCCTGAACTCTGCCCTCAGCCAGCCACGGGCTGCTTCCCGCCAGGGCACCCAAGGGAATGATCCTCAATACCCAAGCCACAGGGACCAGCATCAGTGCCTGAGGGCACAGGCAAGGCGGGCACTCAGCCACCGAGGCAGGGTGCTCTCTGCAGGGTGTCAGCTGGGCTCCTGGGTGGCCCACCTGAGAGAAGATCAGCACACGGTGCCCCTCATCACGCAACTTCTTGAGCATCTTCTGCAGCAGCATGAGCTTCCCCGAAGACTTCACCAGGGAACTGCCATCATAGGAGCCATTGGGCAACACGGGGGCCTCCTGGGGACACAGCAGAAGAGGGCCATGGTGAGCGTCCCTCCCCAGCTTGGCACCCAGGAGGCTGCAGGGGACAGATAAGGGTCTAGCCGTGGGCCAACTCCCTGTCTGTCCTGCTGAGCACAAAGCCCAAACCAGAGCAGGACCAACAGCACGGGATGGGCTGCGGATCACGTGGGCGCTGGCTCCGGGCACCGTGTTCCCAGGTGGGGCACAGACTGCCAGCCCTGTCCTTGGTCTTGCTCCCTAGTTGGCACCTGAGACCTGAGATGTCAGCCAAGAGAGGGTGAAGCCACACCAGCCCTCCTAGCAGGAACTTGGCCTGGTCCCTGCGTTCACTGGGTACATCCAGCAGAGCGACCCTCTGACCCCAGCTGGGCAGGTTAATCAGAAAGTTAAGTCCCACAAAATATCTCAGGCTGCCCTAGGCTGGGACACCCAGGACAGACATCCCTGTCCAGCTCAGCAGAGTTGGACAAGGAGGAGGAACTGCAGTGAGTTCAAACTAGAACCCAAGGGCAGGGATACTGGGGTGGTGAAGGCCGACGTTCACCGAGAACGCCAGGCACCGAGCTCTCGGCAAGGGTGTGCCCCATGCACGTGCTCCTCAGACCCTCAGCAGATCTCTTCCAGGTAGACACTGCTCCTGTCCCTATTTTACAGAGGAAGATGCCGGGGCTCAGAGAGGAGCTTTAACTTTCCTGAGGACATAGTGCTGGGGTTGAAATACATGGTTCCAGGGATGAGCATCTCACCCACGGCTGCTGGACTTCCCCTGGGAGCTGGCGGCAAACTCCCTTAGGGACTGGGCACAGCCCTCGAATCCTGCCCTGGAGCCCTGGCGCTAGGAATGGAGGGGCCTTTGGGGTGACCTGGTGGCCCCTTGACTCTGTGCATCATGGGGAGGGCCCGAGGGAAGGAGAAGACTGAGCCAGGCAGTGGACAAAGGCAGGTTTCAGAACTTCTGGCATGAAGGGGGCCCAGGCCACCTCCAGGTCCTTGGGGGAGCTGAGGGCCCAAGGGCCCAAGGCCCCGGGCGCAGGCACCTACCACTGCAGCCACAGGGAAGAGGTAGGGGTGGTTGCAGCACTTCTTCAGGTCCATCATGATGTTGAGCAGGGACACCTGGTTCCCGCCCCCCTTGGAGTTCAGCGCCTCGAAGTTCCGCGTGAGGATGAACTTGTAGTACTTCCTGCAATGGACACGGGCAAGGCGCTCTGAGAAGAGCCCCAAGAAGGAAGGGTCGGCGAAGGTGAGCCCAGGCCTCCACCATCCCAGGGAGGGGCCCAGGAAGGCCAGCCTGGGGCCTTCGGGCGGGGCAGAGGCAGGTGACTCCCAGGTGGCTGAGCCCGGCCACGCACTTCTGCATCTGGCTCAGCTCCACGCGGACGATCAGCTCCGTCTTGGCCGGCATGTTCTTGAAAACGTCGGCCTTGAGCCGCCGGAGCATGTGGGGCCCCAGCAGGTCGTGCAGCTTCTTGATCTGGTCCTCCTTGGAGATGTCAGCAAACTCCTCCAGGAAACCCTCCAGGTTGCTGCAACACAGACAGGGCTGAGGGCCAGCAGCAGAGGCCCAAGACACACGGGCCTCTGCAGAGGAACTCAGGGTTAGGGTAAAGGGGCCGGGGCAGGGAGCCCAGGCAGTACAGGGCGAAGGACAGGGGGCCCAGGCACTGCCCTAAGAAGCCATCAGCCTAAGCCTGCGTCACCCCACACGCCACAGCCCTCTCTTTCTGCCACACAGGATCTTTCCATCCTTGAGGCATCCTGGGTGGGAGCTCTCCAGCTACTGAGGCCAACAGGCCCAAGGTTATGCAGCCGGCCAAAGCCTGCTCCTGGCTCAACCCCTCCTGATTCCAAAGTCAGCCCTCCTCAGCCTGAGCCCCTCATTCTGAGCAGGAATGTGGGGTGGGTAACAAGGAGACTGGGGAAGCAGGTTCCCTCTCCACCCTCCCCCACCCTGGCCTCTGCCTCCCATCACTGTTGCTCACATGGGTCACCTGAAGGTGGGGAGAGGGCAGGGGACACAGACAGGAGCCCAGAAGGTGCCCTGGGGAGGGCCTTCCAGGGCGGAGCGGAGAGGAAATGGCAGCTTAGCAGCAGCTGGGATCCACCAAGCACGGCAGAGCCCCGCCACGCCCCTGCTGCCCCAGGACATTGATAACGTCCTCACTGTGCCCCAAGCACCTCCACCCCACTGGCCAGGCGCAGGGGACGCACTTGAACCTCTCTGGAGTCAGGAAGTTGAGGAGATGGAAGAGCTCCTCCAGGTTGTTCTGAAGGGGCGTCCCCGTCAGCAGCAGCTTGTAATCGATCTTGTAGCTGTTCAAGACCCTGAAGAACTGCGGGAGCAGAGGGCGGTCATGGGGCACAAGGTGACCCCCGTCTGAGTGGCCCCCAGCCGCTCGGCCAGCACCGCCTACCTTGGACTGGTTGTTCTTGAGCCGGTGGGCCTCGTCCACCACGAGGCAGGCCCACTCGATGGAGCCCAGGATGGCCTGGTCGATGGTGATGAGCTCGTAGGAGGTGAGCAGCACGTGGAACTTGATCTGCACTTCCTTCTGCAGGGAAGAGGAGCACTGGGGAGGAGGCAGCTGGGGACTGAGCAGACCCATCTGCGAGGCAGAGTCAGGGGGATGGGATCCTGGAGCTCCGGAGCCTGGCCGGCCCAGGACAGGATGGGAGACAGAGGGAGGCAGCTGAGGCCCAGAGGACAGAACCCGGAAGAGGGGAGTGCGGCAGACAAAGAAAACTCAACCCAGTTTCCCCTCCGTACCGGGGTTTCACACCGACAGACGCAGCCAACCTTGGGTGGGAAGTATTTAGGAGAAACCCCGCACCCGTCATTATCCTTGCTGTTATGCCCTGAACAACCCAAACGCCACTCACCCGCAAGCAAAAGTCGTTATAAGTGTCCTGTAAGTTAGCACGGTAAGAAGCCAGAGGTGACAGCGTATGTGGGAGGGTGGGCATACGTCATACTTTATACAAGGGACAGAACAGTCCCCGGGACCCCGTGGATGGCGGTGCGGGGATGACTGCTTCTAATAACAGGAGAGCTGCCGCTCCCTGATCAGGTGGTGTGGGGCCAGCCCTGCGCCACTTCCTCAGCTCTCCTCTTACCCTCAGTACTCTATGAGCTGAACTGTCATTGTCCCTACTTAAAGTTCACGGGACCTCAGGCTGGAGAACTCTCCCAGGTAACAAATGGCAGAGTCAGGGCTCAAACAGAAGAAAGAGACTCCACACTGGGGGTTTCATGCCTTGTATTTGCTGATGTGAAATTCTGAATCGTTTTAATATTGAGTTTGTAACTTGTAAAAAAAAGAAAAGTCCTGTGGGATAGTGGGACATGGGCTGGAGCTGGAAGCCTCATTTGAGATCCCACATTTGTGGGACAGGTCTCTGCTCCCCTGCCTCTGCTCGGTGACCACTGTCACACTTTGCTTGGGCCTAAATGCTGGTGGAGAGGGGGCTAGGTGCACATTCTATGCCCCAAGTTACAGGGCGGGCCCCCAGTGCCTTGAGCCTCTGCACTCACCCACCATCTCCAGACCCAGGGAAGGGGACGTGAAATGCCTAAAACACAGAACGGCGGGTCAGACAAGCCCAGGAAGAAAGGAAGAAGCAGGGGCTGGGGATGTGGCTCAAGTGGTAGCGCGCTCGCCTGGCATGCGTGCGGCCCAGGGTTCGATCCTCAGCACCGCATACAAACAAAGATGTTGTGTCCGCCGATAACCAAAAAATAAATATTAAAAAATTCTCTCTCTCTCTCTCTCTCTCTCTTTCTTTAAAAAAAAAAGAAAGAAAGAAAGAAAGGAAGAAGCAGCTCTCCTGCATTTGAACAAAGCGCCCTGCCCTCTCACCCTGCACCAGGCCCCACATCCCGGCCAGTCCACACCCGTCTCCCCCAGTGACCAGCGCCCGTGTGAGGGGATCAGAGAGGGGCAGAGGGAAGGCTGGCCACAGGCTTTGTACCAGCCCCAGCCCCCTCACTCAGGTCAGTGAGGACAGCCTCGAGGACTGGAAGAGCTCACTCTGTTCCTCACAAAGTCAAAAACAGAATGACCCCGTGGTCCTGCAACCCTGCCCTGAGCGCACCCCCAAGGGAGGCGTGGATGGAGACGGGAGAGACGGCAGCACAACCCACGTCCTCAGCACTGTTCCCGACGGCCAGGCGGAGAAGCAGCCCAAGGGCCCGTCCGCAGATGAAATAAAACTCAGTCCATCCACCCGGTGGGGAGCACTCAGCCTGAACACAGGTGGCCACTCTGACCCAGGCCTCACAGTGGATGAACCCTGAAGGCCTTCTGCTAAGGAGTCACGCTGTGCGACTGCACCGGCCTGACACTCCTGGAGGAGCCAGAGTCTCACACACAGAACACAGGAGGTGGCTGCCGGGGGCTGGCAGGTGTTGGATGGGGCGCCGGTGTTCAATGGAGACAGCTTCCATTCTGCCAGGTGGAAAGGGTTCTGGAGATTGGTTTCAGGATAACATGAACATCCTTAACCCTCCTGAGTATGTACTCTTAAATGGTTAAAATGGTAAATGTATGTGCATTTTACCACAATTTTTTAATAGAATAAGGGAGGAGCTGAGGGCAGTGGCCATGCCTGCAATCCCAGCGGCTCAGGAGGCTGAGGCAGGAGAATCACGTGTTTAAGGCCAGCCTCAGCAACTTAGTAAGGCCCTAGACAACTTCTTGAGAACCCGTCTCAAAATAAAAAATAAAATGGGCTGCAGATGTGGCTCAGGGGTTAAGCGCCCCTGGGTTCAATCTCTGGTTGAAAAATATATAAAACCATAAGTACATAAAATAAAAAATATATAAAATAATAAATAGGGGAGTGAAGATTTTGAAGTGCTCAGCCATAGCCAGGCCCCAGTGGGAGCTAAGGGGGGATTCTTTGTGACCCCCCCCAGGCCCATAGGCTCATCTGTCTAACAAGCCACCTTGAGATCCCTGGTCCAGTTGTTGTTCCTTCAGCAGACAGTTTCTGAGCCTCTCCTAGGAAACTGAAGGGCTGCTCAGAGACTGTCAACGAAGCCAAGACAGCACATCCTGGAGGGAGACACTGCCAGCCCCAACACAGGAGCTAACGTGAGAGCTGATGTTTAGCTGGGGCCTGCTGAGGCACCACCTTCTTCTGCCCAATGCGTGGCCAAGGTACCAGAAGTTGGTGTGTCCCTGTCAGCTGTGACTTTGTTTCAAATGCAGAATCTCACTGGGGATTTAGCTCAGCGGGATAGCACTTGCCTAGCAAGGGCCAGGCCCTGGGTTCAATCCCCAGCACTGCAAAATAAATAAATAAATAAATAAAAGTCCTAGTAAATCAAATGCAGAATCTCGGCCCCCTCCTCCTAACAGGAGCTGTTGGCTCAGCGCCTGCCCTAAGACCAACCCCCTGGGGGTTAGCAGTATGAAGTCAGGAGGCCCTGCCCAGCTTTTCCTAACCATGACCCTCCCAACAGCTGTGTAAAGGGGTCTGTTAGCCCCATTTTTCTGAGAAGACTCTAAGACACAGAGAGACCCAGTGACTTGCCAGAAGTATACACCGACAGTGTACAGGGGTGAACAACGTCTTCCCTAAACTCCAGTCCACCTAGAAGCTTTCTTGCAAACGTGTCTTTGCAGATACAGTTAGCTGAGGTCATGCTGGATCGGGTGGTTGTGTGAGCACTGTGATTGGTGTCTTTGTAAGAAAACAGAAGTCAGACACCAAGGGGAGAAAACCAGGTGACTGGACCAAGACGAGGGACGAGGGATGCAGCCCTAAGCCAGGGACGCCACCAGAGGCAGGAAGCAGCAGGAAGGCGGATCCTCCCCTAGAGTCTTCCCAGGGAGGCCAGCACCTCTGTCTCCTCTGCAGCAGCCCTGTGCCAGCCTGCACCTCACCTCCACAGGGCAGGGAAGGGGCACTGCACACCACAGGGCGTCTGGGCCCCTGGGAGACCAGGCACCTTCCGGGGACACGGACGCTCACCTTCATGCGGAACACTTTCTTCCCACTCCGAATGGCATTATCCTCAAAGGAAAACTCGTTCTCGCGGATCACAGAGCGGCTCTCCTTGTCCCCCGTGTAGGTGACCACGTAGAAGTCGGGTGCCCACATCTCGAACTCACGTTCCCAGTTGATGATGGTAGACAGGGGCGCGCTGACCAGGTAGGGCCCCTTGGAGTGGCCCTGCCAAGAGAGACCGAGGCAGTGAATCCGTCTGCCCAGAGCTGGCGCTAGCCTCTGCCCACCCACCTGCCAGCATGCCCACCTCTTTGTACAGGGAGTACAGGAACACAATGGTCTGCACGGTCTTGCCCAGGCCCATCTCGTCGGCCAGGATGGTGTCCGTGCCCTGTGCCCAGGAGAAGCGCAGCCAATTGAGGCCCTCCAGCTGGTAGGGGTGCAGCGTGCCACCCGTGGAGTCGATGTACCATGGCTGCTTGTCGAACTTGACCGTGGGCTGTGGGGAAGGGAGAAGGGCAGACACGCTGAGTCCTGGGCCACGGGGTCCACCCTCCAGGCTCTACACGGGCAGCTGCTCCTCCCTGGAACCCTCCTGCTCCTCCCTGCCGCCCCAGCCCTTCCTCAGTCCTCAGCTGGAAGCCGACTCCCTCCCTGGCCTATCTGCTGCCACAGGTCCTCCCCAGCTGGCCCTGCACTTCTCCTTCCAGGGACATCTGATTGTTGCATTCTCTGTCTGTGACCCAGGTTGTCATGACCGCCCCCCAAATCCTGCTCCCTGCTTCCCAGATGCACCACACAGTGCCTCTGACGCTGGGGCACTTGTTCCTACTGTTGGGTGAGTGACAGAATGAACGTGGATCTGGGGACTCTCACCACCTCCACTTGGCCCAGGACATCACCTGGGCCCTTCGTGCTGTGGCTGCAGGCGCCTCTCTGATGAACGTTCTCCTGAGGGACTAGACCCACTGCCTCTCCCACACAGCTGACAGCCTGCTGTGTGTCCCTGCCCAGGGCCCTGGGAGAAGACGCTTCTGGAACAGGGCCCAGGGCTCATTAACCCCCCAGTGCCACCCAAGGGCCAGGCACTGTTAGACACCCCAGGGAGCTCTGCTGAATGCACTGGCCAGCGCGCCTCGCAGGTAGGAATGGTGTGTAACTGGCATGCCAGCTGCCAGGCTGTGGGCATGTGGGTGAGTCCGAGCACATGAGGGACCCGGAGAACGTGCCCTCCTCCAGACAAGCCTGGGCCAAGGAGCCCTGGCCATCCTACCCTGCTGCCCCGCTCTCAACTCACGTCCACAATGGGCGTGTCTGGCGGCTTCTCCTGCTTATCATCCTTGAGCTTCTTGCCCTTCTTGATCAGCCGCTTGGGCAGTCTGGCGTCCTCTCCCAGCATCAGCTCCCTGGGAAAGAGCGTGGGTGCAGGAGAGCTGAGTTCAAGTCAGGAGGGGGACCCAGGTGCCCACACCTGGTGGCTGGATCCCGCAGCCCACCTGTGGCCCCAGTAGGCCTGCTTCAGGTTGTCATAGTAGGGGATGTCGATGTCATCAATCTCCCAGGTGCACTGGTCATAGGGCAGGTCTTTCCACTTGATCAGGTAGTGGACATCCCCCTTTTTGTCAAAGCTGCAACACAGCAAATAGATGGTGAGGGAGGGGTGGCCACTCCAGGCAGTGGCCACCGTGTGGGCCGATGATGCAGGGAGCCTCACATGATGCACAACCACTTGTGCTAGTGGCCCCCTGGGATTCTGGGCCCACCCAGGAGGAGGGTGCCAGGGCAGTGGCTCCAGAGAGGTACAGCAGCTTGCCCCAGGACACACAATAGAAGAGGGTCTCTAATAAGTGACAGACTGGAAGAGAAAGGGTCACTGAGGGGTCAGGACCAGCATCCAGAGTCCTTTCCAGCCTCTGCTGCAGGGAGGAGTCACATCCAGTCACAGGCTGGACACAGGAACTCAGAATCTCTGTTACAGAAAGTTCTCTCCTCTGTCTTGTCCGTTTTCTAACTTCAAAAACCCAAAGGACTGGAAAATGCAATGTCTTAAATAAAACTCTATTTAAAATTGGGGGGAAAAATAAAAGAGCAGTATCCATCCCAGGTGAGGGGCCTTTCTCTAAAAAGCAGGCAAAGATGCAATTCCCACAGGTAGGATGGCCTCTTCCAAAGAGCCCCAGGGGCACTGGACCTGATGCACAAGCCCAGAGGCACACAGATTGATTCTGGCCAACAGGAGGATCCTCAGGAACTTCCACCCGAGTAGAGCAGGTGACCAGGCCAAGGAAACACAGCTGGGCTGGGGGGCCATGCACCCCTAAAGGGCAGTGGCCAGGCCAACAGGTGGATGAGCAGTGCTGCAGCTGGCCTGGACACCATCAAGAAGCAAGACCAATCCCAGTCACCATGGAAACCAGTGGATTCTTTTTCAGCCAATAATTGGTGGGTACATGGACTCCAGGGAATAAGTCCAGGGGAGAGTTACCTGTTCCACGTGGGACGCACAGAGGAAAACTGCTTTAACATGCAGTTTAACAAAGGTAGACGCTGTGGGGCTCAGGCTTCTCTAGATACTGACCCTCAGTAAGGGCCACTCTCAGTGAAGTCTGGGGACAGGCGGGGGCACTTCACAGTCAAAGGGAGGAGCCTTTTCAAGTTGCACAGCCTCTCCGCCCTGAAGGCCACCCCAGCAAGGCCTCCGCAAGCTCCTGCAGCCTGACAGCAGCCCACTTCATAAGACAGACAGACACAGGGAGCCCACAACCATGAATCCCAGGAAAATGGGGAGCTGGGGTGGAAATGGAGCATGGAGCACCCAGCAACTGACGATCAAGACACTCCCCAAGGCACGCAGGGCAGGAACAGCCACCGGGTCCTGAGCCCCTCAAGTTCAGGGCGCAAGCAGGGAGTACAGTACTCCAAGCTGGGTCCCCCTCCAAGGCCCCCTGGTGGCCACCACCTGCTTCCTAGCACCTGAGCTAGAGAATCAGCAGGTGCTGCCACTGCCCACCACGTGGAAGCAAAATGTTCTCTCAGAACCCTCGGCCTCCTTGTCCTGGCCTCCTGCAGCCTACGGTCACCAAGTCACCTGGAGAATTCCCAGACTGCTCAACTAAGCTGCCACAGGGGCACGGAGGTTAGCACAGTGGCTAAGAGAGTAATCCTACCCTCAGATGCACCTGTTCCCTCTGCTCTGCCACCTGTTGTGAGGCTTGGGACACTGACTCATCCTTGCTGGTCCCCCACACTGCCCGATGTTGGCTGCTGTGATAAACATGGAGAACGCTAAACCCCTGCACCCCAGCCTTTCTGGTCCTCAGAACCCTCCTGTGGGCATCCAGCTGACTCAGCAGGATCCCGGGAATGCGAGGCTCCCCAACCCCGTTTCCATTCTGTGTAAGGTTTACAGGCTGGATGTCAAGTTCCTCTTTTCTCCATATGACTCTGCCACTGTCCTCTACAAGCACGTACAAGTGTATCCTGGGCAGAGAGCCCTTCTGGCTGGACAGTCAGATCGCCAGCAGCGGGGAGCCCGTGGCCTCTTCCTCCTGCCCCGCTGCACCCAGACGTGGCTCTGAGCAGCAGCCCCAAAGGCTCCAGCTCCCAGCCCTGTGCCCATCTTACAGAGTGAATGGACCACGGGTCCCGGCTCCACAGGTGTCCGCCTCCAGTGAGGCTCAGGACCGTCACCACCCGGGGCACACACCTGTGGTTCAGGATGCGATGGATCATCATCCACTCGGGCTTGATGCCGTAGCGGTAAAAGCGTTCCTCCATCTTGGCGTACAGAGGGTCCTTGTTCTTCCTCTTCTCGCTCTTGCCGTCCTCATCCCCAGAGCCATAGTCAAAGGGTGGCGGCTCATCCATGTCATTCTTTCTTTGGTAGTTGCGATACATCACCGTGTGGTAGAGCTCCAGCTGCTCACAGAGCCCGGCAGTCACCAGAGGCAGGTGGGCTGTGTCTTTGTGTCCCTCACCCAGCTCCCTACCCCCAGCCCTGATCCAGGCAGGACGACCCTCGCCCTCAGCTGCCCACTCCCAGCAATGCCCTTCCCCCAGTGGGTGGGCACTGTGTGTCAGCCCCTTCCTCATCATCCAGGAGGGCCAAGAGTCTCACACCAGGCCATGCCTAGCACAGCCACACCTGCCCACGTGCCTCACCTGTAGCTCCTTCACCCAGGAGCAGTGCCAGTAGGAGAGCCCAGCCCACTTGACAAAGAACTCTCTCTCGGGGATGCCCTCCAGGGGCTTGGGGGGGGGCACTCCCGGCTCCACATCGGGTCCTGGCAGCCCCACCGTGAAGGGAGCCGGGGGCTCCGTCCACCTCCAGTGCAGGATCCGCTGGACTTTGCCCTTCAGTGGGGGACACTGTGGACACAGGAGGGTCCCCAAGTTCAGGGCTTAGGCACAGGGCTACACCCCAGGGCTCCCACGACATCAGCTGTCACACAGGCTCCCTCCAACCAGATGCAGAGTCCCCAAGTCAGAGGAATAGCACAGTGACTCCACGGCACCCACCCCTGTCCACAGGAACCAGCACATGCTGTGCCTGCAGGAGATGGGCAACACTGAGTCCATGTGCATCCTTTGCACTTGACTGTGAGCTTCCTCACACCTGGAAAACCTGAGCCAGGTGAGGAGATGGCCATACACACAGGACAGATGGAGAAAACGTGGCCCACTCAGCCAGGAACAGCGGAGCAGGGAGCAGAGCCCAAGACTCAGCGTTCCCCCACTTATGGGTCCTCCCACTGCCCAGTCCCTGCTTAAACCCACCTGAAAACATGCCACATCATATCCTGACCACAAGCACCTGTCGGGCACAAGCTCCTGCCTGGCACTGAAGGACAATGCAGCTCTGTCCCCTGCCTCACCATCCAGGCACTGTGTATCTGAGCTGGCTGGGTCAGAAACCCAGTCTCCATCAGCCCAGAAACATACTGGGGTCCTGATGGACGCTGGGCTCCAGGGAATTGCTGACTGGCAGAAGTGAGAAATGCAGGGGCCGCAGATCCACCACCTGTGCACTGAGCATGCTACCCTGACGGGGCTCTCAGCAGCCCTGGCCCTTGCAGGAGGCAGTTCTGAGCCACAGCTGGGCTGGGGCAGAGATTGTGCATGTCAAGAGACAGCTCTGCTGGAGGGGGCAGGTCCCTCCCCTGCCACCACCTGTCCACATATCTTTGTCAAGCCACCTGGGGTTAGGTACAGCCCTGAATCCGTTTTCTCATCTTCAAAATAATGCCTCACCTTCCTCCATGTCTAGGACTACCGTGGTGCCAAACCACACAGGAAGGCTTTCAGGTATACACTGCAGGCCACAAAGCCCCATAGCCAGCCTTGCTTTAGCCTAGTGAGAGCAAAGGCCAAGGAGCAGAGGAGGAGAGGAGACGGGAGTCAGGTAGGACCAGCCTCCTCCACTGGCTCGGTAGGTAGATGGGACACCTCCTTGCCCCACCCTGACCTACCTCCATCCCTACCCTACAGGGAAGGACCTGGACAGAACTAAGCTCCTGCCACCTCTCCTCACAGGGGGTTTTGCAGAACAGCTAAGAAGGCTGCACCTGCCCAACAGGGCTCCCAGGCTCCTAGGCAACAGACACACATGCACAGACACAACACAAGCCCAGGTACACAGTGGCCAGGGCTAGCCACAGCACAGGCAGGACCACAGGGCAGGGGGGTCCATCGCTTGGGTGGCAGGGTAGTGGGGGCCAACTCAGAGCATAAGGCCTTCACAAGCCTATAGTCACTGAGGGGCAAGGAGTAGCAGTGAGGGGAAGCACTCCCACCTCCCTGCAGAAACCGGGATTCAAGCGTCCCATTACCCGAGTCTTGGGACAGACAGAACCAGCGCCAGGGTGGCTCTAAAGCTCTGGGTCTAAGTGGACAGTTCTGCAGCTGTGTGGCCCTAAGCCACTTCACTTCCTTTCCTGAGCCTCAATTTTCTCCTCTAAAAATGGGAATAACAAAAGCCTGGCTCTTGAACGCCCAGTAAGGCTAAGGGAATGAGGTCTGTGCCAACCTTGGGGCAGAGTAAACGCTTGCTGACGGGTAGCTGCTAAGAAAGGGCATTCAGAAGCCACACAGGCCCGGGGGTGGGCGGGGCGGGGCGGCGTAACACTCACAGTACAGCGCGGGCAGAGCCATTCACCGTTTGGGATCTCGGGCAGCGGCGGGTTGAGGCAGTGCAGGTGGTAGGAGGAGGGGCAGGCGTCGCAGCACAGCAGCTCGCCGCCGTCCTTGCACACCCGGCAGAACTCCATGTGGTCGTCCTCCTCCTCCTCACAGCCGCCCTCCTCCTCCTCCTCGTCGTCATCCTTGGGCTCCCACTGGATGCCCTCCTTCTCCTGGAGGGGCGTCCAGGTGGAGGCACCTTGGGACGGGTCCCCCAACTCCCGGCCCGACTCCCCCCCACGGGTGATGGCACCAGGTCCAGGGAGCTAGGCGCCGTCCCTGCCCTCCCCTGTGGCCGCCTCCACCGGGGCTTACGCAGTGCGGGCAGCTCCACTTGCCCTCGGGAGCCTTCTCCAGCTCGGGGTCCAGGCAGACGAGGTGGTAGGCCCGCGGGCAGGTGTCACACAGGATGATCTCCCCCCCCTGCTGGCACACCTCGCAGTAGTCCTGGTGGTCCGTCTCATAGCCATCACCATCGTCAACTGGAGAGGGGGAAAAGGCAGCAGTGGAGGGGCCGTCCCCCTAGTGATGCACAACCATCTCCATCACCCTTGCCTGACAGGTATTCAGTAGGTGCTTAATAGATGCTGGGTGGATGAATTGGTGAGTGTGTGGACAGGATGGACAGGTGGGGGGGTGGGGAGGATGCAGGCAGGAGCAGCCACAGCGCGTTCTCTGCTGCGTGGGCTGGGCTTGCTGTGACCCCACAGAGCAGGACCTACCCTGACAGCCTCCATGCTGCCAGGCTGGGGGACACAC